GTGAATGAAAAGACGAGAGAAAGCGTGAAATAAAAAAAAAAAAAAGAAAAGGAGGAGATAAAACGGATAAATTCTCCCGTGCGTTTTAAATCGTAACACCTTATTTATATAAATAAACTTAGTTACTACCGTCGACAAGTAAGGCTAATGCATATTGCGTGTGTCCTGCGTTTGCGTTGATCGGCCGTAGCTCGGCGAAATATTTCCGGTGAAACGCGTTCCGGAGACGCGGCCAAGAGGAAGGGGAGGGCGCTCGAGCCGTACCGCGACGAATATTTCCCCGGGGCCGATCCCCGTATTTAAGATCCATGTACAAAGTCTTTTGCCTGTAAGGTTCTTGTGTTGTAAAGTTCACATAATCATAGTGTCTAGATCGTACGTACCGGCTAAAGTCCGTTAAGACGATGCTACACGTAGTGAAACGAGAATTTAACCACCGATAGCTCATCTGTATTTGCCATCGCCACTACCAATCGAACGGGGTCAATCTCGCGATCGAGAATCACCGGCACGTGCCATCGATCCGATTCAACAGTAATCGCAAGTTCGACGTACGATTCGCAAGCGCAAGCTCCGATCGATCGGTTCGCGAGTATCGAGGACAAGTGAAACTTGGCGGTTCTACTCGGGGAGAAACTGACGATGAAAGAAGATGCGACGTGCGCATGTATGTACCGGCGATTTTCGGTTAGCGAGTCGGGAAATTTCGCGAGAACGCGATTGACGAAAAAAAAAAAAAGAAGAAAAAGAAAAAAGAAAAGAAAGGAAAAATACGCAGAGAACGGGGTGGGTAAACGGGGCGGGTTGCGTACAGGGGAAAGAAACTCGTGGGTCGGGGGGGTCGGGTGGGGGAAAACCAGTATCGCCACACTACACTGAGTAACGATGATGACGAGCGATGACGATTTCGCGATCGGACTTATACAATCTAGTATCGAGGCAAAAAAGTGTATTCATTGTAATTCAGCATTATTACCTATAAATAAATAGTTGTTATTGTAAACTCTGTGCGTGTGTTCCTCACTAACCCACACACCGGACGCTATCCCGTTCCTTTCGCGCAGACGAAAAAACGAGCGAAAAAAAGAAAACAGGTAGGAGGAAAAAGGAGGACGCAAATTGCACCGCGGTACGGTAAGTGAATACTCGCACGATGAAAAAGATGAAGGAAGGTAGGCGAAGAAGGGGAGGAGGCGAGGCGAGGACGGCGTTACAATTACCGGATTCCAGGCGATAGATTCGTCGGACGTCAGCGAAGGAGCGCGCGGTCTCGCCGCGTTCAGATTAAAGGCTGCACCGGGTGGCGGCGGCGTACGACGATGCATTCTTATCAATTTCCAAGCACCCTAACGACCCGAGACACGCGACGGGTGCCCATTGGTCGAGCCAGGCTCCACCCTTTCGACAGGGAACATATTTTAATAATAAATAACGACGATCAGGCTTATGGTTTCGCGGTTCGCCAGGGTCGAGTCGTAGTCACTTAATTAAATCGCCGCGCGAACGTCTTAATAGGCCGTGGCTACAACTCGACGCGATCTATGCATGCGTCTCGCCTAACGCGTAGTCACGTAACCGGCGGCTCGACTGAGAAACGAGCACGTGCCTCCGGCAGCCCTGGATTCTTCTCTTCACGTTCTTCTCGCTGGAAATTTGGCCAATGATCGCTTTTTCATCGATGCAACGATGAGAACGGGACGCCACGGTTAACCAGGAGAAGAAAAAAACAACGCGCGTTTGGATGCAAATTAAGCGTTCCTCCTTTTTGCGAACGTCGTCGAAAGACGAGGGCTTGCCGCATCGCGCGTTTCCAGTGCCCTTTCTTTTTCTTGTCACTCCCCTTCGGCTTTTCATCCCTCGTTCGGTACGTTTCGCGTTTCAGAATCATAAAGATAACCGAATTGCTCCGACTCGACTTTTATTCCAAGGACATATTGCCCGACAATCATTCCGGCATTTGCATAATTATCGAATAAAATGGGAGAGAGAGAGAGAGAGAGCAAGCGACAACGCCGAGCCCCCGGGGCACTTCTAATACTCTGGCCCGCGAGTACGACTAATTTCATGCTTTCGGCTTTTTCCTCGGCTGCGAGGGTCGTTTGCCCTTCTC